GGACCCAAAGCCTAGTGCAATGCATCCAATGTGATAGGCTTTGGGTCCAAAAAGGGTGTGTGTGGGAAATTCCCTTGAACAGAACATCTTCTGAATAAGGGGTACCACAGAACAAAGGCAGGCCTTTGCTCTGGTAATGGGTTGGGGGCCTGGTGTGGCCACATCTTTGGCAGGGTGCCCCCAAAATCAGAGGAGGCCCTGGACAATAACTTGGAAAGGGCAACTTACCCAGCTGAAAGCCAATCTTAGTCTGGTGGAGAGCATGTGTGGGTGGGAAGGGTGTTTTCCCACCCAGTGGCCCTGGGCTGGTGGGGAGAAATCAGCTCCTCAGTGGGACCTCCAGATGAGAAGGTTCTGCACCCCAATAAGTCTCTTCACTGATGCAGCAATCCAAATCAGACCAAATCAAACCAAATTAAGAAAAAGCCCTGGTTCAATGGGTAAAGCACTCCTGGATGATTTTTCTGGCCCCCCAGAAAGGAGAGGGGGAAGAGAGACCAAAAAACCATGTGTCTGTTTTCTGGGGTGCAGTCTAAATACCCTGTGGGCATGGCCTTGAGCATCTCTGGGGGAGGAGCTATGGTTTGTCGGGCTTGAGACAGGGCAGGGTTTGGGGGAGAGAGGTGGGGGAGGGGAGTTGAGGTGGATCTTCCACCAGAACATTCCAGACTCTTTGGGTTCATGGGTGTCAAGAACTGAGGTGCAGCATCCACCAGAACATTTACTATAAGATGGCTTTTAAGCTCAAGATGGAGGCAGGCTGGTCCTTCAGTGGTCGACCCTGAGGGATGTGGGAAGTGACCACCTAAGGGAATTGAGCAGCTTGGCCTTGGAAGTCAGTTTCAGGAGTGAGGAAATGTCCAAATAAGGGAGACAGAAGAAAGGACGGGGACCCGTGGGTGCCATGTTTGCCATGTCTGGGCCTGCGAGAGCACACCCCCCCAGCACTACCCCTCCCACACACAGATCACACTGGATGCTTGGACCTGGCCAGGGGGAGCAGACTTCAAATACTGACACCATACCATAACGGTAGCAAGGCTAGAGAGACAGCTTGATTCAGTGGCTGCTGCACAGCGTGAGGTTCTGAATGTTATGCCCAGATCACGGAGACCCCCGAAAGACCACCTCGGAGACCGAATCCCACATGTAAAAGCAAAGAGCCTTTATTTTCGAACTTGGAGCTTGGGCTGTCTGTCTGAACACAGCAGTGAGAACAGAGAACCCAGAGCCTAGGCAGGGTGGGGCTTTTACCATAGCAGAGGTTGGGGTGAGGGGATTTCCAGAGTTCAGGACCCTGATTGGCTGACATTTGTCTAGGGGTATAGGGAATGTTTGGGATGTCAGGTGTTTTCTCTTAGATGCTGGCCCCACTGGGTAGGGTCAGCTTATGGCTTTCCTTGGGTTCAGGTGTTGTCTTCCGGAAGCTGTGTCTGGGCCTCTAAGCCTGTCATGGTAGCTGTGTGGTCAGACTGTTTGGGGTCTCCCCACATTCCCCCTTCACAAGTACCAATGACAGGACTCAATCATAAGTCCTACCTGTCCAGGGGTTCAAGGGTATTGGGACCTAAGAACTATTAGCCAACAGATGTTTCTAGGGCAGTGACATCTGTATCTATTGCCATTCTTAAGGCCCTGTAGTTCTGATCTTTGAGTACAACCAGATTATAATCTTATATCATACCTCTTTGGTTCTGCACAAAGAAGATCAAGTGTCTTATTATAGAGCCATTTCAATTAATAAATTTATCAACTGACGATTCTGGACCTATTTTCCTGGCATGTCAATGGGCATTATAATTAGCCATCTCGCCCCCTATGCCAAGGAGTTTACGTTTTGACGCAGCATTTCAACCTATTTGGGGCAGGGAACATGGGACAATGTAGTTTCTTTTGGAACTGCTTCAAGCTGACATTGGGGTACAATTATGAGGGCTCAAAAAAGCCCGAAAGGCTAGTCAAAGGCTGGGCAATTGGGCATCTGTCAGAAGCATGTGGCTGTCTGACCCTGTAGAGACAGGGAACAATCATGTTGGCTGGGCTGGTCCGTGTCAGCTTTTAGCAAGTCCGGAGCTCACAGTTGTCTGGAGCAGTGGAGTCAGTGACTGAAGCGTGGAGGTGCCTGCCAGCCAAGTGGAGATCTGTTGAGACATCTTAAACTAGGAACAGAAGTTAAAATTTATGAACTTTTTTGAAATTCTTAGGCACACATTCTTAGTATTTGGGAAGAGCAGGAGTCCCAAAACCAGGAGAGAAAACAATACCATCCTTAGGAATAGACAAGTGGGGGAATTTAAGCTGGAGTCCTTCTGACCCCTGTGAAGTGGATCCAGGTTTTACGACTCTTTTAATCCTCTGAGGCCAACATGAACTATCTTACAAAATTACATAAAAGTTTCAGATACATTAGTATTACCAAAATCCACATCACAGACAAAGCAGGTGATGGGTGTCTGTAAAATAGCAGAAGTGGACTCATACCTTCTTGTCCTAGCAAGAACTACAGATTTGGGTTAAAAGTTTGTGCATTTTCCTTCTGTCCAGAGAGCCAGCTATAAATTGGACAGAGATTTTTGGCCTGATGAGAAGAACTTCTAGGTTTATATTTAGATATATTTAGATGACATCTAAAATAAATCTTAAATGTTGAGCTTGTGACTGAAGAATAAGTAGTCATTGCTCTACTAGCTTATCAGAACTCTCTATTAAATGTTAAGCTCTGAACTGTTATATCATAGAAGAGAACAATCCAAAACATTTCTCATAATCTAAATCATTTATTTATCTATTTATAACTTGCATTTATATCTTAAATCATTTTTCTGAGATCCTCAAAGCTTATAAGCTTTCATATCCTCAGACCTTTTCTTTAGACCCATATTTAAACCTTTATGACTTATTTAGAACATTCTCTTAAAAATGAGCTAACAAGCTGCTATAGCCTTGCAGAAGGATCTGGTTGTCAGATGCTGTCAAGCTGACAAAGTTATACCTAACCTAGCCATCAGTACTATCTGAGAAAGATAAATTATATCTGAGCGCAGACCAAGCAGCTTCCAATTCTACAAATGACAGGGACCAGTTGATACTAGATCTCCATAGCATTGGAGGCACAAGTATCAGAACAGCATCATCTTCTTCCGCCCTCAGGCCCATAAGGCAGAGTTTTTTCCTGTGGAAGATGGATGCTGTGATAGACCCACAACACACCCCCATGGTTGTGCAGGTCTGGCGGACCTAGACACTTCCGCCTATCCAGTTCCAGGTCAAAATAGCCATTTCCAGCTAAGGTGTCTCACATGACCAGGACCCCGTGGCTTTGCATGGTTGTGTGAGAGCATGCAACATGACAATGTGATCTACACGCATGCGTGGAGTAGCCACATGTGCCTTTGTATGCATGTGCCACCCAGCCTTTATAAGCCAGCGCCATATTCTCGGCTTCCTCCTTCTTCTTCTCCACACACTTGTCATTTCCACAGGCCTGAGCACTCGTCTGTCTCTCTCATCTTTTTTTTTTTTCAAATTAACAAAATATAAACTTTATTAATATTTTTGCATATCCTTAAAATATGAAAAACAAGGCAAAAAGTTTAAAAACCAGTTTTATAGATGTACATGCTAACAATGGTTTAATACATTTGCAATTATATAAAATACATTATACAAAAGATTTATAGCTTTTGCATACATAAAATGAATTAAATAAAGCATCATATATTTCTATGATCTAACAGTGCAATATGCACATACTTAGAAAAAATACTGATTTCCTGAGCAACAATGTTGTAATTCAAAATCAGAAAGAGTCCCATGATAATGCAGTGTTTAAATAACCCTAATTCTAACACGCTGAGACTGGATCTCCACTTCTACTTCTAACCACAGCCTTCATCTTTCCAGTGAGATGTTAGATCTCACTGCCAAAAAGCTTAGTCCAGAAAAAAGCTTTTAACAACCAAACTTCGCTGGAAAAGAAAACTTGAGAATGCATGCTCCTTCCTAATCCATAACATGGCCAGCAGACCATAACTTTGCTTTGTTGAAAGGACAGTGATGATACTTAAGTAGGTATCCATTGGTTCAAAACAAACTCAACCACATCTAACTAGTCTTTAACAAGTCAAGAATGTGTCCTAATATCAGGTCTTTCTTTACTTGCAATTCCAAATTTTTAAGTGAGCTAGTATCAATGACTATGGCCACTTCTGTTATGTTTTTTTTTTTTTTGCTTTTTCGAGACAGGGTTTCTCTGTGTAGCTTTGCGCCTTTCCTGGAACTCGCTTTGGAGACCAGGCTGGCCTCGAACTCACAGAGATCCACCTGCCTCTGCCTCCCGAGTGCTGGGTTCTGTTATGTTTATAACTGCATACACACAAACACACACACAAAAATTAAAGCCTCAAAGCAAATTCAAGTGAGGGCTTGAACACGATCCACAGTATCCAACAACAACAGTTGTGCTTGTGTTGTCTGGAATACACTGGCTTGCAGTTGCCAAAACTTTGCATACATTTGCAAATGCATAGTTAATAGATTTTCAAAAATCTACCAAATGCTAATTTTTTTAAAGATGAAAGCATAATCCTACATATAGAATTATATTTGATTAGTAACTCTAAAATACATAGGAAAAGGAAATTGTGTGGTTGTTTCCTAAGGATGTGTGTTGTATTTCCCTCAAAAAGGATGCTCAAGACAGAAGTGATTTTAACCAGCAAGTATACCTCCTCCTTTAAACATAAATTATCAAACCCTTGATTACAATTCCAAATAAAACCAGAAAAAAAAACCCACCAACTCTCTAATTTTGTTTGATGTAAACAAAGTCCTTCAAAGGTTATATCACCTGTACTGCCCTCAAGTCTTCATTTTCTACCCTAAAATTTGATTTTTTTCAGCAGGCTTAATAAATATTATGTAAACTTGCTGTGTTAACACTGAGCATATTTACAGATCATGCTCATTTCAAAATGCACATGGCTGTTAAAACAATTAAAAATTATTTTAACTAAGATATACAAAGGGAATTGATTCACTACAACTTTCCTATTATTAAATACTTTAAAGGTAATTTTCTAAACTTCTCTGATATATGTAGGCCTTTAATAAAATGACTGACTTCTGTGTCTTTTTGTAGTGCTTTTTCTTCTCAAAGTATACAAACCCCAAATATAATAAATGTGTATTAATAATTCCTTGTATCAGGATTAGAATTTGATATACAAAATGCTTAAAAAGCTGAAACATCGATTTAGGAAATAATGTCCAGAAAGAGGTGATATATTTTAAGATGTGCAGTTTATTATACAGAAAACATGCAATCCCAATTCTACCACCTGTACTGATATTTTAAAAACACATATTTAAAATTAAACACTAAAATCAGTATACAAATGCTTCTTAGCCAAACTGGTTGTCTCACAGCAGACTTAGAAAATGTCACTATTAAGCCCTTTTGACTAATTCACACTTTGGCCTGTGTTCCTCAGTTTGATAGTGCATATTAGGTGCATTTAGATCATCTAAACAGGACATTTCTTTTGAAAAGCAGAGGTCAAGGGGCCACCAAATACAGCAATCTGTTTACTGCTAATGTCAAAGTCCTGTTCACTCATTTTTTTCTCTGCAAGACACGAGAGGCAGATAGTACAAATCTGCTACTCCATGTTTGCTTGTGTTTAAGAGAAGACAAAGTTACATAGCCTATGAATGACAGCCTATGGAAGGAAATCTGACAATGTTTCAACTTCAATTGTAAAGTGTGTGTGAGCTCACGTAAAGTAACATTGTAAGGCAGGAAGTGTAATTAAGGCATGTTACTATTTGTAACAGCAGTGATTAGTCACAGTATGTAAAGAGGAATTTGCTGAATATACTTTTCTGAATAACACTTCATCAAAGTGCTACAGAGTGCTTCCAAATATCAGACACAAGTACTTTATTTTAAATGATAAGTGAAAGTGGGGCTGGAGGGCTCCTCATAAAGCTTTCCCTTTTTACGGACTAGGTCTTGACCTGTTTCAGTGTCCTTGTGGTCAATTGATGTTTCCAACCCTAAGACATTATTTTGGGGTCTTAAAATATTTAATCTATTTGTTAGCCTCTATTACAGAAATTATAAATTACGTTTCCATATCTGTTTCTACATCTGCTTTCATAGCATGTGCTAAAACATGTTTTTAAAGTTTCAAAACTGAAACCAGGCGATGGTGGTGCAAGACTTTAATCCCAGCACTGAGGAGACAGAGCCAGGCAGATCACTTGGGAGAGAGAGCCAGGCAGATCACTTGGGAGACAGAGAGAGATCCAGGACAGGCACCAAAACTACACAGAGAAACCCTGTCTCAAAAGAAAAAAAAAGTTTCAAAATTGAGTGTTAAGTACTTGGTATCATAATTTTAGAATCAAAACCAGTATTTTGGTGGTATGGTAGCAAATTTTCTTCAGCTGCTAAGCATTTGAAAATCTTGACATGAACAACCTTAAATTAAAAAATAATTTTTCAAAAAATAAATTTAATCACAACTAATCCTGAATAAGAAAAATGACAGCATTTTGCACATTAGAATTCTTAAACATACATGTAAATTAATTTCTGCTTTAAGAACTGATACAGCAGATGTATTCTGACCAGTCTCAATATAAAGAAACACATGTGTGTGTTACAGACAATCCATTTGTAAAAGGCTTAGTGGTTCCTAGCAAGGTGAAAACAGAGCATCTTCGATGTCCCTAGATGCTGACGTCGAAGCAGCTGTTGGCCATCTGTGAACCGCCATATCCATAGGCATACATGCTCATCAACACTGATCAGAGCTCACTGCTACGTTCTGTGTGGAGCAGCAGGTGATTGCGGATCTTGCCTATATAGGTTGTGGTCATCTTGTTGACTAACATGTATTCCTTTTGTTGGAGCAATTCCATTTTCCATTTCTCTGTGCTGTGACGGAGGTGTGAGTCCTGGATGCAAATGTGAAGAGCCCACTGTTGAATGGTGACTAACATCCACTTTCGCTAAAATTTCATAATAGAGCAAATAAAATACTGGTGTTATTATACCCACTATCAGCATTATCACCACAGCTGTCCACCAACCAATTCCCCAGTCTGCTCCATAGTACGGGTCCTTTCTGTGAGCGCTTCTGCTATCCGGTTCAAAGCGGCTCTGCCGTGCTGTTAAGGCAGACACCACCTCGCTCAGGTTCTCCCTCTTGGTATCGGTGCACTTCCCTATCTGCTCTATGTCTCGATCCACTTCTTCCAGGAAACGGTCGGCTGACTCAGTGGAAGGCAGACAGGCACCGGGGGCCACAGCTTCCCGCTCTGGAGCACATGCGACCGGTGGAGGATGCAAACCTTGTCTTCCTTTCAGAGGATGAAGAGTTTCAGTCAAAGAACTAAACTTTTTAACTGGAATTTTGATAGACCGTACAACAGTACTGAAGGGCTACTGCATTTAGAGTGTCTCCTTCCTGTATGTCTTTTGTTAGCAGAATGATGTCATCAAGCCTGTCTCTCGATGTACTTCTTCGAACCTTCTCCCTTCCTCTGGACCGAAGTTCATACACTTCAGCATCTTCTTCCAACAGGTCACTGTCTGTACAATTCCCAAAGGTATGTAGCTGGCTGCTGGCCTGAGTTCCTGGGAGGGAGACAGTTCGATTCTGGTTCCTCCCCGCCATGATGTTATAATCTGTCCGCCAGCACGGCCGCGGCCCCGGGGAAGCTCATGACCGACCCCCGGTTCTCGGCTGTCCTGGGCGCGCTCCTGCCGCCATCCCCGCCGTCCCCGCCTTCCGGACCGACAGCCACCGTGTCCTCAAACCTGCGCTGCGTCCTGTCTCTCTCATCTTAATAAAACTCTTGTTAGTGGATTCTGAACCAGACGAAGAACACCCTCCGCCTGACTTTCTAGGCTTGGCCTACAGTGACGACTGACGCTGCCCCGTTCCTGCCCCGGCCACTCCCATCTCACACAGGGAACCTAGGGTAGTGATAAAAGTAAATGGGCGCCCCATCTCGTTCCTTTTGGACACCGGAGCTACCTACTCTGTCCTGAGAGAGTTTTGGGGTCCCACCTCTCCTGCTCGTCTCCCTATTGTCGGGGTTGGGGGACAGCCTTACCTACCTCATCAGACACCACCACTTAATTGCATTTTCAGAGGCATCGCTCTCACACACACATTCTTAGTGGTGCCAAGCTGCCCTGGACCTTTAATGGGAAGGGACCTTCTAGCTAAGGTAGGAGCGTCCATTTCTTTTGCTCCACACGTTTGCCTCATCCCAGACGCACCAGCAGCTCCCCTCCTTCTCCTAGCCACTCATTCTACTGACTCTAACAGTTCTTTTCCCTTGCCAGCCTCTCAGGTAGACCCAAAAGTCTGGGATACCCAGAACCCGTCTATTGCTAGACACCATTAGCCTATCACTATCCAGCTACAAAATCCTACCAGATATATCACCCAAGCTCAGTACCCTCTCTCACTCCAGAGCCTAAGAGGACTTAAGCCGATCATTTCTGACCTTCTCAGGAAAAAGCTGCTCCGCCTAACCTCTTCACCTTTTAACACTCCCATACTTGCAGTTAAAAAGTCTAATGGAACCTACCGCCTAGTTCAAGACCTCCAGCTCATTAACTCTGCAGTGGTCTATTGATGTAACCAACCGTCTTATTAAATAAGAAACACAGAAACAATGTAAAAGAGAAAGCCGAGAGGTCAGAGCTCAGAGCTAAAATCTCACCCTTCCGCCTG